TATATAGCACCACCAAAGCTGTTGAGCTTCGTCTCCGAAGTCCGGGCCCAAGGATGGACTCAAGTGGTTCATATACCTACCAAGGAAAACTATATTTTAGATCTCATATTTGTCTAAGACCTACACCTCACATCTGTCGAGATATTAGCTCGGTTCCCAGGTAGTGATCATAGAGTCCCGTACCTTGGTTTCGAGACACTCGTTTCCGTCCCACTTGGTAACACCAGATAAATAATAGAGCCCATCATGGACTTTAGAAACGTAAACTGAAAAACATTTGCTATACTGCCGCGAAAAATAAACTGGGTTCTCTACTTTCTCACCAGAGATCCACAGGTTGCGGCAGAAGAAACGCAAATATCCAACACTGTCTTCATACCCTTGCTCCACTCGTACTGAGATACGATAACAAGGTTTTCACGAAAATTACTCGAGAAGCACGCCTACTGCGTAAGCTGAAAATATTTCGCTCAACAATTAGAAACACTGGCGACTTCTCATTACTTATCAGGCAGGGTAAGCTCTCTGACCAGTTGTGGTCCATTCGTGGCGCAAAACTACTAATGGAGGAAAAACGAGCATTGATAAATGACAATAACTCTATAGCCTTGGTCAAGCTACTGAAGGCCAGAAAAGACAGTCAGGCGAAATCGATATTATGTATCATACTACCTGACAGATCCATGCCCAGGGACCCCACCATAATGGGGAACGTCATGAATGAACACTTTGCAACTTTGTTTACTACCTCAAGCAGCACACTTACGATTAGCGCTAAAACTGATGTTGGCAAACTTAACACAGTGCATTTCAATTACGGTGTCATTCAAGCTCACATTGATAGGCTGCGGTCTTCGTTCCATCATGAACCTGATGGTCTAGCAACTTCTGTAATAAAGCTTGGTGGCCGGGATATATCGCAGTTGCTTCTAAACTTGTTTACCATATTTATGAATTCGGGTATATTCCCGAATCAATGGAAACCTAGATATAAGAATGCTTCAAAACTAGACGTAAAAAATTACCGTCCAATTGGTCACACTTCGATTATTTCCAGAATGATGGTAACAATTGCGAAAGCGAAAACTGTTATGCACTTGCTGTCATTGAGTTTAATAAACCCAGCACAACATGGGTTTTTGCAAAGACGCTCATGTCAGACTTGTCAGCTCTCTTTCCCAAACCACCTGACGAACTCCACTGACAATGGAAAAACAGCAATCATTTTCTGTATTGATATGCAGATGTGCTTTGACAGAGTACCACACAACCTCTTGGCGAAGTTAGCCAATTTCGGGTTCACTGATCTTTTGCACTCATGGTTCAAATCTTACCTATCTGATCGTACGTAGCAGGTACAAATAGGACATACTAAGTCCTTACCATTGAAAATCAAAAGTGGTGTGATTCAACGAAGTGTGTTAGGTCCCTTGCTCTTCCTACTGTCTATCCATGATATAACTATAAAAAAGAGTTGGAACACCCCATATCTTTGCGGATGATATAAAAATACTATCTACCTTCGATATCCGGTGTTTGAGGGACACCGTTGAAAAAGTTCGCATAGACCTACTGGCCTTGCAATCGTGGTGCACTGACTGGCAAGTGGTTTTCTCAGCGCACATGTGCAGTGGCTTAAAATATAAGTGCCGACTTTCGCCGAATGCAGTTTACCTTGGTGGTAAACCCATCCCCTGCAAACCGACTATACGAGATCTGGGAATCCGGTACTCTAACACTTGAATTTTGCTGAGCAAGTTGAATTCATAACGGCCAGATTACGAAGAAGCGCAAAACCTATCTTAAAATCATTTTCGATGCCTGAACCTAAGCAGTACTTGTTTAAGGTCTGCGTTCGTCCTGTACTAGGGTATTGTTCGATTTTCTTTACAAGCAGCTGGAAACGTGACCGCATGTGCCTAGAACCCGTGCAGAGATCATTCACAAAAGCTCTGTTTAAATTTTTGTCTAAATTTAACTACCCTAAACGTTGTAAGATGCTTCAAAAGGAGCAACTGTGGCTAAGACGCATGAAGCTTGGAGTAACATTCCTCTTTGATTTGCTCCACAAGCGCGTTTTTGCGCCAAATATCAATATTCACTTCAAAAATGCATCTAGTTACGCAATTAGAAACACCAAGAATAATCTCCTGGTTTTCAAAACCAAAACTTATGTCCGAAGAAAATCCTTCCTAAACAGATGCACCGAGATCTGGAACAGCCTCCCTATTAAAATGAGGGCATGCGGCTCACAACCGCTGTTTAAAAGAGCAGTTTCAAAGTGCCAGACGGTACAATACGTAAAAACAACGTTGCAACTAAATTGCAATGAAAATGGGTTATTTGAAGAGGGTGCCAAGACGTAAGTGAGTTGACGACAAACATATATGAAATGTGCAACGTTCACTTGGTCAAGCCCTCCTGTAGAGGTGCATGGAAAAAAGGATATATTGTTGTCAGAATCCTTCACTCTTCTTCACCCGACCCAGTTTCCTACTTTACTCTGGAAAGCATCACTCACAGAGACACCAACAAGTGTGGACTGCAGAGGAATTGCGAACTGACGTTGAGATAAGCATTTTTGTCTCCATTCCTTCATATTCTGCTTGCTCAGCCACGCCTACCTTACAGTCATACCAAAAATTGTGAGCTGTTAAGGAGACGCTGACTAAATCCGTCCATCTTCATTGATTTTTACCATTCGTTCTTCTCTTACTGGTCTTGCTTCCCATGTTGTTCTCATGTAAACATGTCAGACATCAAGGTGAAGCTAACCGATTATGCTTCCAACCTCTTAATCAGTATTTCAAAATCTTTATTAGTTTACTTGTAACTCGCTTAGGCCTAGCGTACATTTATATCAAAATACCTGCGCCAGATGACAAGTGTCAATCATGTTCACCTCACACACAACAGATAAATCTCCCAGTATATCCGTCTCGGCCCATAAGTACAGCTGCTGAAATGATGAACGTAAATTAAAACCCCACGTCTTTCACCAATCTTTGTAGAACGCCACAGTGTATAGGAAATGATTTACCTACATCAGATGCTTTGTTTAAATGGTATGATTTCAAATTTAATCTTTTCACATCATCAAACTTGCTTCACATTCTTTGCCCAAGGACATGAAAACTCGGTTCCTTTCGTACAAGGAGATCTTCGTCACGACGCTATGATATAATCTGTGCCCAAACAGAGCTTTTTAATGCAAAACCATGGGGGGTAAAAAACCTTTTTATTTCTGCCTGACATAGGGAATATTTGTTAAACTATACGAAACAATTGTAACAATATGAGCATAAGGAACAGGGCATGCCTCGTAAAATCAAGAATATACCTTATTAAACACCACGTCCGGGTCAAATTGATGACCTAAGCCTAGTAGGTGCTTAGCAATCGATGAGGTCGGCATTTTGGCACTTAACACCCAGCCTCGTGATTGACAGTAGACAGGGCTAGTCTCCAGAGCAAAGAATTTTTTTGCAAGCCTCCACCAATCGAAGTGGCATATAAGCTGCTAAAGCTATTACTGATTATTGATGAGCAGCCAGAGGACTTATTGGACTTTGTGAGGATTCGATGTAGCTAGGTTTAGGTAGCCAGCCACCACACATCGAGGAAAGCGCTGTGCACATCCTCTGCACGTTCATAACCTACATCACAGTAGAGGATGAGCCGCGCTGTATCGCAGGTAGATAGCAGTCATGGCGACTCGTTGCCGTCACCCGTGGCACAGTGGCATAAGTCGCTGGCTCGTAAAAGTAAGATCGTGGGTCCGAATCCGGCAGGTGCGCGTTACTGACGAGTCTAAATGTGGCAAAACGGCCATGTAGCGCTTTCCTGGATGTGTGCTGGCTGACGGCTTGTGTCTAGCTATGAGGAATCTTCACAAAAATCCAGTAACTGCCTCGGCTACTCACTAATAGTTAGGTTATTGGGATTGCTTCCACACTGTAAAGATCAGTGATGGAAGTAACGATAGCAATGGGTTGCAACCATCTGGAGTGAGATAGCTCAGCGGAGGACATAGTTCAAGAGCAACACGAGAACCGTAGTAATCCCAGAATGTGAGTGAATTATTCAACTGATTGACGGTTTTGGGTAGAATAACTTCACAGGTTTGTTGAAAAACTGATTGGTTCCAAGTGTTAGCACTCGCCCGGGAACATCTTTGGAGTTTCGTGCATCCTCTCTAGAGATGAATTGTTCGTACAGAGTGCATTATCAAACACGATGTTTCTTTGCGGGACCGGAACGCTATGACGTGAAATGCAGGTAAAACTTTCATGAAAAAGCCAACCCTACTTTGTCACCCATGGAAATTTTGAGCTAGCAACTTTCTTGTTCAGTGCCCATTGGACCACTTGCGCGGTCATCGTTGTTCATCTGAGTTACCTGAATTAAGGCATTGGTCTCATATTTTACCTTCACAGTCCTAACAAGGATTGTCAAATTACAGCTACTCGAATGCAACAGACAAGCTCATACATGGTTACCCTCTCCAGGTAGTTGCTGCCACAGAGAATACCATGAATTCTATGCCGTCTAGTTCCAATGTTTTCTGTCAGCATGCTGGTTGAATGGCAATCAGTCACCGTTTATTCAGTTCCGTGGGTCAATTGAAATTGGCCTACTGAAGTGTTGTTAAGAGTTTATAGTTCCTTGTCATTGTTCTGTGCAATGTGGAAATTCCTTTCCTTTGTGCTTTCTGAGGTAATACTGAAAAGGAAAGCAAATAACGCTGAACAACTTATGGTCACTGATCTCCCTAAAGATAGGCTTTAGAAAACTCACTGTACCTAGTACTTTAGGCAACCCCAACATTTGCATGTATACTCATTCTGAGTGAGAACTCAGGATATAATCTAATCATGCAGGCACCGCAATTGCTATACCACTACTTAATTTTCAGCTTTAAATGACTTGCTGTTCATCTGACCTTAATAAATTTTTACCTAGTAATGCGGTTCCCATTTACCTGTTTTCTTTACCTTCAGCTACACACTACAATGCGTGCTGCCAATCAACAATTTCACCGAAAAGATCTACGTCTTCCTTTGGTTTTGGTTCGCTATCTTAGGTGTCCTAACCACATTGAATACCTTGCAATGGGCTCTGAATACTGCATTGCCTATGCGCCGAGTGCATTACATCAAACAGTATCTCAAAGCTCTCCGCTTGATTTCGAGTACGGAGGAGAGAGATTGTGCCCGATTTGTGAACAACACATTAGGCGCAGATGGAGTGTTCATCTTGCACGTGGTGTCCAAAATTGCCAGTGACCTAATCGCACTAGATGTAACAGCAACTTTGTGGAGAAACTACCGTCAGGCTAAGATTACTGGTACCGAGGAGGACGTAAACCGTCTGCTAGAGACTGTAAACCGCGGATCTTCAGTGGTCTGACAGCGGATTAGGCGTCGGTTTACGTCCAGTTTTTGATTCAGAATTCCTCCTTCAATAGTCTTTGTACGAAACTATGTGGACCAGTACCGGCGCCCAGCCGACGGACCAATCAGTGCAAATGTTATCAGTCTACATGCGTCAGTTATTCAACTAATGTTTTTAACTAACGACTACCCCGCTTCCCATTTATCTTTCTGCCCCAACATTCAGGCACACGAATATTTAACTTGTGTCCGCTTTTCGTGCCCATATATCAGTCTTTCTGACACACAATTTCCAGAGGAGCGTTTATCAATTTTCCGATACATTCAGCAAGTCGTCATTGGTAAGAGGCGTTTGTCACCATCTTCCACGGCACAAACGACATTTCCTATTAATGACATCCTTCTCACGCAATACATTCTGTTGCTTCGAATTGGACCAAATCTACCGGATGTTGTGTAACTCTTTTCCTATCAAATTTCCTTAAACCCTTTTTTACGATTTTTTATTCGAGTATTATGACTCCAGCCCAAACTCCAATTTTTGCCCACAGCAAAATGGTCCAAAGCACCAACTGATCTATCTTGGTCCCCTATTTTCACCTTAATCTTCCGGATATTTCTCGCCCTTATCTGTTTTCTCTCTCCTTTCACAACGTTTGCCCTAACGTATCCCTCATCTTCCAAATGATTCCAGTCGGATCACTAAATATCCAACATGTGATAATTCCTAACAAAACTATCCTTTCTAATATGATTATGATAAGGTCGGAATCCGATTTCTTTCCCCCTTCTACATCGATGACCTTCTTTCAGGTGCCACCAAGTTGTCAATCCCCCATTTCCGTTTTAGCTGGTTTCGCAGTCGCATACAAAGTAGGAATATTTCTGCTTCTGAACTTTTGTTGTGATTCTTCAACTTGTTCATCCTACCACTTCTTTTCTCCCTTACAATTGGCTTTTCGTGCACTTATTCTCTCTGTTGCCTAGGTAGGTGAGACGACGGATTAACCGAGGATTTATTACCTTTATTTTATAATAGCTGTTCTTGAACTGATGAAAAATTACTAGCATTACTCAACATTGTACACTCCTGTTCTCCTGCAAGCATTACGTCTAGTTTAAGACGTAACGTATGCGGTTACCCTTTGGGACCAAAACCGTCACGCTGCCACGGTTCTCTCATCGTGTTTCTCTGCACACCCTCTGCTCTGTTCCGTGCCGGACAGTGGGAACTGGGGATTCGCGGAGGAATAGCGTGATGTGAACTTTTACAATCTGTCGCGAAGCGAAGATTCCTTGAAACAGTGGAATCATATTTATTCGTTCACTTCCTGATTTCCCTCCCAACAATCCTAAATCGCTATTTTTATTTGCAGTCACACCTATATTTCTTCCAGCTTCTTATTGTTAAACCGTGCGGCATGAGTTGTTATGCAACTACTTTGTTTTCTACCTTTCGGAGAAAGCATTCCTAAGTCATCGATTTCAGACTGCATTTGCTAGTGTTAACCAATCTCTACAATAAGTAACCAAAGTGAAATATCGACCTCTAATCCAGTTCCCTGGCCTGCCGGATGTACTATATTGTACATATGTTGTCCTTGCTTATTGCTCAAATTCACTCAGTGATCTTTCTTTTTCGCTTTCTCTTTTGATTTGTTTCAACTTTTTCTGTCCGTTAGCTGCAATGCGGTTTTGATAGAAATCACGGTTATGGTGGATTTAAGCTAATGAATCAATGATGTCTTAAGCAATAATGTTGCTCGCATGCTATTTCTTCCCAATTGTACTGCATGTGTCTATCTTTTTTAGTACAGCACGCTTGCATGCCCTGTCTGGGTGTTGTGGCCCCGTCGGGTCCCCTTTTGTTCTGGGAAACCTATTGATCTCGTCATTCGTGTACGTCTGCCCTAAGCAGTCAGTTAACCTGAACGATTTTATCTCGTTTTTCTTCATTAATCTTATGCATAGACATAGGAACTCCTAGGTTTAATTTGTGGGACTAATTCCTTTTACTGTGGTAATGAGCATCGCAGTCTTTATTGTGTCTGACTGCACCATTTTACATTTTTAACTGGCTGATTACGTTGAAATAAGTAACATCTACTTTCGTAAATTCAGCGTAAAGAACAGATAGTGGAGTTACAACGAGTTTTCATTCACGGCCGTCAATGAGGCAAATTTCAGTTGTCGTGGTTTTCCCCAAGCAACGGTAGCATCGCACTTTGTAGCTGCCTTGGAAAAGATCGATGCGTCACAGCGAATCACCTTAAGCCACTTCGTTTTCCCTATCCTGAACGAATTACACTGTTCGTAGAATTACATTGTTTAAATTTTACCCGTACTCGATAGGACCAGCGTGTTTTTGTCGTATTGTTGCAATTTGTGTGTGCTACTGGTAATTCCGGTGAGACGTTCCTGTAGTTTTACCTTGCGCACTTTGGAAAAAATGTATCAGTTGAACAGACGGTGGTCCTTCCAAAATAAAGTGCACACTAGGTTCATAAGAATTACAGTTTCACTCAGCTCCTCACTATCTTTACTTTAGAAAAAGTAAAGTCTTGAGAGTTGCGGAGTGAGCAAAATGCTGACCGGACCAAGAGCAACTTTTAGAAAAAAGGTAGATGAAACCGACATGCATGACTTTAGTTAACTAACCATAAAATCCAAAAATAAATCCTGATCCAGATAGCATCTAGTTTCTCTGTATTGAGTCCTGGCATGATCTTTTTCCATTGATGTATTTCACACCTGGTCAACGTTTGGGTTTTGGACACCTCAGCGTTGAGGTCTGATTTGTTGACTAGGAATTCGTGTTGCATCTGCTTTATCAACCGATAAGAGATTCTGCATGCTAGCACAACACTGCTGTTGTATGAAAAGCAAGGTGGGGATTGTGCTCCCAGAACAGAACAGTCGGATTTGCAAACGGCACCATTTCACTCTATTTGATCAACAGTATATCATCAACACCTTCACGCTTGCAAGCGAGGGACACTAACTTGTGTTTATTCAACAATCATAGAGAGACGAAGTTACCAACACGTGCAGTGTCAACTGCACCATTTAGTGATGTAGATCACGAACTGTACACTGGACTTTGAACAACACGCACAGCTTACGTTTATCAACCGTCAGTTATGACATCGATAAACATAGGTACAATGACGTCCATATTAAGGGAGATGAATGCGAAGCCTAAGCGCAGGTCGACAAGGCGATAAGCACTGTCGCAGCATTTCTCGCTGACTCGTAAAACTAATATTGCATGTGTCGATAAGTGTCTTCCCTTATGATTGTTGAATGGGGTCAGATTGCTGATCTGATCTGAGTCTCACTTTAGTGCTATGTAACTGATCATATAGCATGTGCAGCTCTGACCTTCAGGCGGATGTAAGTAAGTCAGTGTCTCCAACAGAGACGATGAGATTGGTATGTCATTGCTTAACAAGTGACAGATAAGAGTGCAGTTCGGCTGAAAACATGCGTGTACGTTTCATACTTTGATGTGAACGAAGTGCCCATTATCCTAGCTATGTCTTTCTATTGCAACACAACCAAATTAGAATTAAGCGTCGTGTTTTACGTTGCTTACCTCTCTCATCCCTTGATCTATACTAGATGCTTTCAAACACATTGAAATCTCTCCACATCTATTGAGTGAATGGTTGAAGGGAAGACTGTCTGCTTCCATCCCCCATGGCTCAGTGGCATAAACTGCTGGTTAGTTAGCGTGAGCGATTAGTGGCCACGGGTTCTATTTCCTGCAGGGGGTCCGACGGAATGCGCACTACCGACGTGATACAGTGGGACGAAACCATCGTGTGGCGTTTTTACTGATTGGGGTTAGACTATCTTTCTTGCATGCAACTGGGACGAATTCGTAAAATACAAGTCACCTGTCTCCCCGGTTGGCGATAACCAAGGGTGGTCATGATGATCTGACAATGGGCATTACTTGTTCTACTGTCTCAGTAAGCATCAGTACTTCCCGTTAAACTGCCCACTTGATTGAGCTGTGTTCTCCGTAAGCGTAGTTGCTAACTTATGATGTTTAATGAGGTGTCCCACCTTCGTCGCGAAGAAAGTTTGGTCGCAACTCACACAAATGGGGCAGATATCGAAGTTACAAGATTCTGAAGTCAACCCAGCACCTGAGTTACCCAGGGAGTCTACCACTATGGTTATAACCAAGGAATACTCATGACTTCAACAGATTTTAAGCCCAACTCGGTGTTTGTAGGGTTTCTATTGTGGAAACGTTTGGCGCTTGACGCAAAAGTTTCTTCAGCCTAGGTGAGTCGGTACACAGTTGGCTTAGCTTTTTATGGCAAAGGGCGGTGCTTAGTGCTGTGAAAAATTGGATTATATAAATTCCCGTTTTAACTCCTCTGCTTGGTTTCCAATTCTTTGAGTCGAAGTCTTCGTCGAAGCACCCTAATTGCTGTCCTGCACAGATATGAGTGACAAGCATTACCGCAACCGACAGAAAACCATGCATATGACAACAGTTTCAAAAATCTAGTCTGTCGATGTATATTTTTTCTAAGACGATGGACTTAAATGCTCTTCGTCTCTCGATTCCAATTACTGGCCTTTTATTAATCCCTAAGGTAAAAACTGGATGTCACAGTATTATCGACATTTGTTTACATGCACCAACGTGGTCATCGTATCCAATCTTCTTTCTTCAAAATTTTTATCCCGACCACACTCGCGCGAACTCTTTGGCTGCATGCAACTTATGAACCCAAAAGTAGGTGAACAACACACTATACGCGCCCTATACGCACACTATAGTCCATTGAATGTGCTAAAAGCTGATCCTTGTTGCCTTCGGAAACAAGAATCCTTGTCTCATACTACGTTAATAAACTAACAGAGTCTGGCCTATCCTCAAAGCATTAATTACACGTGACTGGAGAGAGAAACGCTGCATTAGAGTGAGCGCCATCATCGGCCCATTGATGCATCCTGTCTCGTCGATTTGTTACTTGTGAACTACCGTCTGTGAACGCAGCAGCAATATACTCCGCTTCCACGCGGTTATCACCCTTAGCTGTGTTACTTCCATGCTATACATTACGAACGTAGCATTGTACTGTAAACTGCATCCTAAACTCACACATCTCCCATCCTCTGGGAGTAGAAGAATCACCTAGGTCTTTGGTTCCCCTCCGAACTAATTTTAGCTGATGAATGCTTCGTGGGCATTTGTGGCAATATTAGCTCGTACACCGGCTGTATTTAGGCGACAGTGCCTCCGGCCACATTAAACATCAAGGTACCAATTGGCGTTCTTCGCTAGTGGTTCAGTGACGGATAGAAATATATCCTTACACTA